TATCAGTTTTATGGATAGTGATAAGTGTATTTTCTATACTTAATCATGGCCTTGAATAGTGACATTTTATAGTTCTTTTGATAAAATACCGTCTAATTTGTTTAATATTGTGTTTAATAGGTAAAACTCAATGATTGAATGAAGAATTTAAAAATAAAAAAAAGGAAAATAGAGAATGGTGAAATTGGAGAAAAAAATGTGAAAATTGCTTAAATTATAAGAGATCTGGAGTTCGGGGACTAAAGTGTAAATGTTCAAAAGTTGTGTTGGACCTCAAGATTAAGATTAGTGACTTGTTAGGGTCAATTGGATGAGAAAATAAGTCAAAGGAATGAAATATAGTCAAAGTATTATCACACGATAATTTTCAGTCGAAAAAATTATGCTCTCGATTTTTAGCTTCATATAGAGATCCATTTTTGGCATAGCAAATGTTTGAATTGGAAGCATGTTATTCTAGAAGAATTGTAGTAGATTCAACTGCCGGATACATAATTTATTCTTTTATGGATGGATATTCAAGATATAACCAAATTTACATAGTTGAAGAAGATGTACATAAAGCTGTCTTTAGGTGCCCTGGGGCTTTAAGATGTTTTGAATGGGTAGTTATGTTTTTCGGCCTGAAAAATGCAGGGACAGCCTATAAAAGGACAATGAACCTAATTTTTCATGACATGATTAGTAAATTTGTTGAAGTATATGTAAATGACATAGTAGTCAAATCCATTAAAAAAGAAGACCATTTTGAACAATTAAAATGCCCATTTAAGCTAATGAGGCAATACAAACTAAAATTGAATCATTTAAAATGTGCATTCGGTGTTAATATATGGAATTTTCTTGGTTTTCTAGTGCACGAAAGAGGAATTGAACTTGACAAAATAAGGCAAAGGCCATTTTAGAGGCCAAATCGCTGGGTAATAAGAAAGAGTTGCAAAGGTTTCTAGGCCAAGTAAATTTTTTGAGACGCTTTATTTCTAATTGTGCAGGGTGACCGAAAGCTTTTTCGCCCATTTTAAAGTTGAAAAATCAGGACGAATTCGTCTGGAATGAGGAACATCAAAAGGCTTTTGATAGCCTGAAGACATATTTGTCAGGTGTGCAAGTGTTAGTATCACCTATCCAAGGACGACCAATGAAGGTGTATGTATTAGCTGAACAAGAATCAATTGCCAAAATGGTCGCTCATGAAGACCAATTTGGTGAAGAAATTGCGATTTATTATTTGAGTAGACGGTTAACAAAATGTGAATGTAATTATTCTGCTATTGAAAAGTTCTATCTTGCTTTGTATTTCACATGTACGAAACTAAGGGCTTATTTACGGCATGTGACAGTTTACTTAGTTTCTAAAGTAAATTTAGTTAAATATATGTTTTCTCGCCCTATTTTACACTAAAAGATAGGCCTTTGGATTTTGATATTATCGGAGTTTGAGATACAATATATCCCCCAAAAGGCAGTTAAAAATCAAGTGTTGGCTAACTTTCTGGCCGATCATCCATGCCTTAACATGCTTAAAGAAATTGAATTGGAAATTGATTCATTCGAATTAAAACCTTGGGTTTTGTATTTTGATGAATCAAAAACTTCTAGAGGTGCTGGGGTAGAGATAGTTTTAAAAAAACCCATATGGATTTGTTATAAATTTGCTTTCACTTTGGATAGAATGTGTACTAATAATCAAGCCGAATACAAAGCATTGATCGTAGGCTTGAGCTGTTAATGGAAATGGGAATAAAAAATGTAATTTTTAGGGGCGATTCCCAATTAGTAATTTACCAATTGATTGATAATTTTAAATGCCAAAGTGATTCTGTCATAAGTCAATATGAAATCGCTCAAAAATTATTGGAAGAATTTGATCAAGTGGAGCTTTAATACGTTAACAGGATGTATAACGATCTAGCAAACGAATTAGCCTAAATGGCTTTGGGGTATTCAAAGGTGCTAAATTTGGAATCAATTTGTGAATATGGAGTAATATTGCCCGTAGTACAAAGGAGGGCGAGAAAGATTGAGATTTATTGCATACAAAATGGAGATGCAATATATTGGAGGACAAAAAAAAAATAAGATTCTTGAAAGAACTTGACAAAGAGGGTAATAGGAAAATGATGTTACGCTCATTAAATTACATATTGATAGATGAAGGGCTATTCAAGAAATGCTAAGATGGTGTGCTATTAAAATGTGTGAGTAATAGCCGAAGTATATGAAGGAATATGTGGAGCCCGTCAAGCTAGCGAAAGGATGAGATGGTTGATTGTTAGAAGTTGATACTTTTGGCCTAAAATGGGAGAATCGTGCGTTCAGTATGCAAAGAGTTGTTTGGCATGCCAAAAACATGAGTCCAATACAATGAGTGTCAGCAAGAGAAATGAACCCATTATTAAACATTGGTCGTTTAAAGGTTGGGCGATAAACTTGATAGGTAAGATTTATACTCCATCATCCAAGCAATATACATTTATAATAGTTGCAATAGATTTCTTCACTAAATGGGTGGAAGCAATACATTTAAAAGAAATATCTCAGAAAAGTGTTATAGACTTTATTCATGACCTCATTATTTATAGATTTGGGATTTCGCAAACTTTAATGGTGGATCACGAAATTTCTTTAAATGGAGACCAAGTGGAAGAATTCTTGAGCGAGTTTGGAGTTAAGTTAGTAAACTCCACATCTTATTATGCTCAATCTAATGGACAAGTAGAATCTTCTAATAAGATTCTAAAAAATATCATAAGGAAAATGATAAATGAAAATGTCAGAAATTGGCATAAATGCTTAAATAAAGCCTTATGGGCTTATAGGACGTCACCACGTTCAAATACCAAAGTAACTTCTTTTCAACTTACTTATGGACAAGAGGCTGTGTTACCTATGGAAATCAACGTGCAGTCGATGAGAGTAGGCTTACAAAATGACTTAGGTGATAGCAAGCATGCCGAATCACTAGCCCAAAATTTATTGGAATTGGATGAGTTAAAGTTAGATGTCCTAGATAAGGGACCTGTAAGGCTAGACCATTCGAAGGAGAAGTTGAGCTTTTCTAAAAAATTCAGGTAAAACATTAACATACAGAAGATTTTCTCATGAATAAACAAACTTAAATACTTTTCTCCCGACGATGAGAGGGACATCATCATCATCATCATCGTCATCATGCAAACTTGGCGAAGTTGAGACTAGCCTTTTGCGGCTGGAAGCACCTTTGGCTGTGTACCAGCTTGAGCAGGTGGGGAGCTAGATGAAGGAGCGTAATGTTTAACACGAACAAACGGGGATTTTGAAGGAGAAATGGGATTCCTGACAGACACATGAATGGCAAGAATAGGAGAAGTGGAGGAAGTCTCTGGCCGTTCTAGCAGGTGAAATACGGTTAATATCAATCACGGATGACCAGAACTGTTCAAAAAGAGGGTGAACGACAAAAGTGGGATGAGAAGGGACCAAGGAAAAATTGTTTGTCAAAAGAATATTATGGGCATCAGTTGCATGTGCCTCTATTTTATTGATAGTATGAAAACGTATGGCAAAAGTGGTGTTGAAAGGGGCTAAGGAAAAACCATTTGTCAAAAGAGTATTACGGGCATCAATGGCCTGTGCCGCTATTTTATTGATAGTATGAAAACGGTCTGTCAGGCTTTTGGAAAAACAAGGGAGAACCGCCCACGTTTGGCTAAAACCAAGCGACGGGCAAAAAACTGGGGAGCATATATCTCAACCCCGTCCTTGGCATTTGTTCCGGTTAAGATGTCGTGGAACAATTCTTTCCCAGTCAAATATTGGGCCTAAATGGACAAAGAGGTGCTCACAATGTCCATGGTAGAAGCGGATGCACATAGTTTGGGATTGAGTAAGCAGGAAAAGGAAAAAAAAGGAAGAGATTGAATCCAAGTTATAAAAGAATGAAAAAATGTCACTATTGGACATATTAACAGGACTCAATTGGTTGATGGCTAGCCCGTAACAACTAAAAGATCGAGGAGGAGTGGATGGAGGACCAAGTTGTGGAAAGTATGCTCTCGACCACAATTGAGCGAGACAAAGAGGCCCGCTGCCAATAGGAGATGTACCATTCCTTAACTGGTATTGAAGGGAAGTCATGCCTCTATAAAAGATGACTAAGAACAATGAACAAAGATTTAAAAGCCTACCATGCACTAGTTCAAGTGCTATGGGTAAATAACTCATGGAAGGTTTGACGTTGGGCACACAAAGAATGTATTTACAAAGCCAAACTTGGAGAAATGCGACACTTTCTCGTAAGTAGGTTCAGCACCAGATTTATTATAAGCTCCTGCATGCCCAAGTAAGAGTCGGTGAATCTTTTCTCAAATTTTGGGACAGCCCCACAGGAGAAATGGTGTCGCCCAAGGGTGGAAGGTTTATTAGGGCTCCAATATCTCGCATAGTAATAGACATTGGGCTAAGTAGGAAATTAAAAGTATTATACTCAGAAGACCAAAAACTTAAAGCAATAGGGAAACGCACGACCTCATAGATGGGGGGACGGAGAGCGATTTCTAATAAATCTGAAATCCTAGCACGATCAAAAATGGCCNAGCATGATCAAATATCGTCTTAGTAGGGTCATGATTTATCATACGTGCATACCACATACGAAAAGTAGTATCAGTTTGGGGCCAAATGCGAATACCTTGCTTGCAATTTGTTTTAACGGTAGAGAGTTCAAAAAATGAGGATCTTGAGTACAAGGGAATAGCTGGCCTACTGCCCCTTGCCCAATCGATTCAGCATCATTAAACGACGGGCATAGGTAAAATTCATGGAGGTCAGGGTTGGCTGGTGAAAGGAAAGCTGGATTTATATACGGCTTGGTGAGGAGATTTTGGAAGTCTTCGAAACTAAGGGAGTTGTCGGAAGGGCTCTGTGAAGTCGCTATTTGCTACAAAATACAGTATTTGTGAATATTTTTTGAGAAGCGAGAAGATGAACAGTGGTTTCTATAGGTGAAAGAGAAGCGCGCGATGCAAGACGTAGGTATAATGGAGCGAAGAAGTGGCGTGTCTTTTAGTTTATAGGAGTTGGATGATATTACACTTTTTAGGATATAAAGGATTACCATCAAACGAAAATAATAATTGGGATTCTCTGCCCCTTTTTGGGATTTCAACCATTGCCGAAAAGTACAAAGAAAGAATATGGCACAAGATTAATAATTGATTTTAATTTTGCCATATTGGGGGGTAATTATTGACATACAAAAATGAAGCACAATTAAATGATCCAAACAATGAAGTCCAGTTAGAAAATTCGAAGGATAAACCCAAACGAGACCATATAAAAACCCAAGATGGAGTTATGTTATGGAGGCTCATCATCGCTCAAGCCTACGAAACGCTCAAGATCTGGGTGAGCCGTCATCGTTCAAGCCTGTGTGACGCCCAAGATCTGGGCGAATGGAGCATTTTGGTTACTGTTCGAAGCAACGGTTACTGAAACAATTAATTGTCGATCTTATCACATTCCACGATTCAAGAATCTCGGTTGTAAAAAGTTAAGTGTAGGAGTAATGGCAGAGGTTGAAAATGGTAGTTTCTTGACAAGTCATCCATGATGGAGAAAGTATGTAGTTACAGAGCGAGAGGCAGTTTTCAAACGATTCTACAAAGAAACCCGTCAAAGGAGTATAAAAGAGAAAAAAGAATTTAGAAGAAGAACAGATCAAAACCGACTCTCAAATAGAGAATTATGTAATTCTTTTCCTTTCTTCTTGTTAACTTTCAATTACTTTGCGAATTCAGTGTGCTTGTGCCGCTTCAAGGCATTTCGCTTCGTCCAAATGGTAATATTCATAAATAAAACACCTCTCGCTGGGACTTTGTCTCGAGAGGTTGTCGTTTCTTACACAATCGTTTGAACATTCGTTTAATTATTAGCTAGACTCGATTTCCACGCGAAATAATATGAAATTGTAATTAACTCATGAATGAATGAGAATGAAACAAATTAATGTTAATCATATTTAGTTAATTAAAAATTATATAATAAAATAACAACTCACACGATAAGAGTAAGACATACTAATAATGGCCACGATGTTGCTTTCTCCTTCAAACATGTTTTGCTAGGACGTGGGTTTTGCTATTTTACGCTTATCTAGACATAGGGATAAAATACTCCTAGTATTTTCTTACTTTGCTATCAGTTCATTGGACTTGGATCAACCGTATTCCTATTTTTATTAGCTACGTTGTTGGTCTCAAAATAATGAATAATAAATTCTTCTCGTCTAATCAGGATTTTTTTTAATTCTAAATTCATTGATTTAATGCTAAAACAGGAACAATAAGAGAAATGACTATTTGGAATGAGGATATTCAGATTTGCATATATCTTCCTAGTTCCTGACTTTACCGATTTATAGATTTCTATCGAGGATTGGGGGAAATGGTTCTTTTTATGTCAGAGACACATGACAGTTATTGATTAGTGAATCTCTAACTTAACCTATTACCTTTTTACATTTTGTTCACTTATTCATGTTACTCATTCATCAGTTATAAAGTTATGCTCTACACTCATAATCATGTGTGCTTTGACAACAATTTCTACTAATGTGATATAGTTGGTAAAATTAGTTACGTACATTTGTTCGTTGTTTACACTCGGAATTGATTATAAAGTTTCGCGTAAAAAAATATCGCTTATTTTACCATTGGCTCACATGATTTGGTTGACTTGGAGAAAGATCCACTACTAAAGCCTTTATGAATTTTAATTCTCAACACACTTATCTTATTTTAAGGTCAAGGTTTAAAAAGAAAGAATTAAAACAAGTTTTTTTCTTAATTGCAAGCAACTCCCCATTCCCGTCCCCGTCCCTATCTTAGAATAGTCAGGGAATCACAGTGAGTTACGCGGATTTTGGACTTTCATTGCTATGAATATTGAGAAATTTGCCAAGCAATTTCCCAATTAGATTTTGATGCATTTGATCGTCGATTATATCAATTCGATTCTTCTTCTCCTTGACGGCTGTGATATGTTGAATTTTATGCAGTAATATTAATTCTTTATAATAAAATATATCAATTGGCTAATGAACCAGTCAAATAAAGCAACTATGATTTTGTTAAGAGATATATAGTTGCGTTACTGTCAAACGAATGGAGTGACGAAAAATATTATGCAATCGACGTTCANTTTTCAACATTTTTGAGTTTTTGGCTTGAAAACACTCAAAACGACCGTTTGGTCGTTTTGAGTTTTATGTACAAAAAAAAAATTATTTTTTTCAAAAACGCGTTTTCGGAAATAGGAAAGAGAACACATTTTCACTGTTTTGGAAAATCGAAAACAGAAAACGACTTGAAAATTGCAAAGAGAACATCCCCTAAGTGTTCTGATAGAGCATCTGTGAGCCCCCCCCCCCCCCCCCCCCCCCTTCTCTCTCTCTCTCTCTCTCTCTCTCTCTCTCTCTCTCTCTTATATGAACATGATATAGAGTTGAGTTGAATAGCATCAACAAGCAAGCCCACATCGCAGAGAGATTTGAGGTAATTTTCCTTGTGTAGTATGGTTGGTCGAGCTTAAAAATCCTCTGTTTTGGGTAACGCTATTGAAAAAAATCGTTTTTCAGAAGCTTTTGAGCTAGGTCAAGCATGATATATATCTAATAAATTACTTGCACTATCTTTTGAATTAATGTCGTGTATACTTTGATATTTGTATGTACAGGAAAATTTTTGAGAGATCAATGGCCTCTGAGGAAGGAAATTTCTACCTTTCTGGACCTTCGTATCTTACTCCTATTGATTGGTACGTTTGTTTTATTGTTTGTGTTGCTTAACTAGTTTGCTAGTTGAAGGTCTTGAATTCAGGTCTTGCTTTCAACTATTCATGAAAATTAATACGTTCATGTAAAATATGATTTAGATCATTCATGTAAAGAAAACTAAATTGGATAATCTAATAGAGAAAACGAAGGTGAAGTTATCATTGAAGCTTGAAAGACTCATTTGAAGAAAAAACCTGGGTTACCCTGCGGAGAGTCTGTCTTTGAGATTTCGTAAGTGTAAAAGGGGGAAAATCACTGTTTCATTAAGAAATTTTTGTGCTCGTTTTGGACCTTTGATAGGAATAACTCGCATCATCGCAAGTCCATCGCGGCCAGTTTGGTTCAGGGTGTATACACACTCGAATGTGATCGCAAACAAAATCGACAAGGCCCTCAAGCTCTTGCTCCTGCTTGGTGGGAATTTTTCAATTTTGGACTAACCCAAGTTCTCGTAGATGATGATGACAAATCTTATTTTGGAGCCATTTTTGAGTTCAGGTTCCCCTACCCTTATCCCAACTACATAGGCCAAGGTCCCCCACGATACGTGATCGCCTTCCGTGGTGCGACCAACAAATCGGCAAATAGGACTCAAGATTATAAGTTGAATCTTCAGTTTATTGTCAACAATCTCGAAAAAAGTCGGCGTTTTCAAGCTGGCATGGAAGCTGTCACAAACATTGTTCATGAAGCAAATGGCCCTGGAAATGCCTGGTTAGCAGGACATTCCACAGGTTCATCCATAGCACTACTAATTGGGAGGAACATGGTAATGTTAAAGATTGGTTAAAAGTTACTTAAAAGTAACTTTTTTGATGAGTACATAGAGATGCCTCTTCAAAAAAGTTACATTTAAGAAGTTTTAAGCTTAGTCAAACACGCGAAGTGTTTTCTTAATAGTTTGATTGCGTAACGAGTGCAAAATCTTGCCTTTCAACAGGTAAAGATGGGCATTCATCTCGACACCTATCTCTTTAATCCGCCATTCGCTTCTCCAATTGAACTAATAAAAAACGACAAGTTGAAGCATGGACTTAGGTTAGCAAAGAGTGTCCTCACTGCAGGATTAGCTATTGCTGCTAATGGAGGTCACTGGCCAACACCTCACGAAAACGATCCATTTATCATGTTATCTAGGTGGATACCATATTTGTTCGTCAATCCAACCGACCCCATATGTTCAGAATATGTTGGATATTTCGAACAAAGGGAGAAAATGGAGAAAATGGGAGCTGGAAAAATTGGAAAGATATCAACACAGCATTCAATAGGGAGTAGTATTGTGTCCAGTGCAAGAGGGAAGGATTCAGAACCAATTCATCTTCTTCCTTCTGCATATTTGACTATTAATTTGAGTCCCTCTGAGGGCTTCAAGGAAGCACATGGAATTCATCAATGGTGGAAGCCAAATTTGCAATTCAACTACAAATTATATCAGCACAAATAATGTTCATAGGACTTTGTTTGTACCGTGAACAATGACACTATGTTGTATGGTTCAAAAAATGTTCGGAAACCCCTAATTTTTAGTAATTTTCGACAATCTATCCATTTTCTCTCAAAGTTTAAACAATTTGAAAAGGAACATATTTATTTATCTGTAGTTAGTATTCCATATGTCATCTCACACTTAGGAAGAATTATTTTTCTTTTTAATCAGAAAATTGACGCATGTACAAATTTCACTAATAGATGATAGCGTGACTTAATACACTACCTTGAATTACATCACCTAAAATGGTCACAGATGGTGTCATCTCACATGACTTTTCTTCATAATGTCATGTGCCTTCTTGAAAAAGTGTTACGATGTTTGTTTGCATTTCTAGTGTAGATTCTGCGATACATGGTGTCGAAAATTGTCTTAACTCGGAAGGGAACTAAACGTTGTTTTTAATACTTAAAATTTAAGGTGTCCTAAAATGATATACATATTTATGAAGTAAACTCCATTGCAGTGACGATTTTTCAATTCATTTCAGTATATTTCATGTCGGGCATGACCAAAATGAGGGGTCATGGATTGATGCAACTGGACATGTTGATCCCGTTAAGCGTGTCAAAATTGGATGAATAATATCAGTTTTATGGATAGTGATAAGTGTATTTTCTATACTTATTCATGGCCTTGAATAGTGACATTTTATAGTTCTTTTGATAAAATACCGTCTAATTTGTTTAATATTGTGTTTAATAGGTAAAACTCAATGATTGAATGAAGAATTTAAAAATAAAAAAAAGGAAAATAGAGAATGGTGAAATTGGAGAAAAAAAGGTGAAAATGGCTTAAATTATAAGAGATCCGGAGTTTGGGGACTAAAGTATAAATTTGTAAAAGTTGTGTCGGACCTCAAGATTAAGATTAGTGACGTGTCAGGGTCAATTGGATGAGAAAATAAGTCAAATGAATGAAATATAGTCAAAATATTATTACACATCAATTTTCAGTCGAAAAAATTATACTCTTGATTTTCAGCCTCATATAGAGACCCATTTTTGACATAACAATTGTTTGAATTGGAAACATGTTATTCTAGAAGAAAACATCGAGAAACTCAATAGAATTTGATGCGCTTTAAATCACTTCAATCAGGAATTGAGAGAAAAAGTTAAGATAAAAATATTGATAACTGTTTAGTACATGAATTATGGAGCCTGCAGGAGAGGCACGCGCCCAAACCTCTTTTGAGGCCACATGAGGCTTGCAAAGCATTTGAGGTGTGCACTCGTGTAAAAAGGGAAAAATCTCGTTTTCCTTATTTTCTTTTGGTAACTTATAAAATGCAATATTTTTGCATTCTATATTAGGAGGCATGTCCAGAAAGGTTGGGGGGGGGGGGGGGGGGGGG